CAGTATACTGTGACGAAAATTTTCTGATCAAAATGTCGTAGTATAGGATTTTAAAAATTTCATATATTTTAAATTAGCAATGATTACAAACCAATGGGAATTTCAAAAGGTAAAAAGATACATTTAACGGCAATCTGAGACTTTAAAAAAATCCAATAGATTTGTTCAAAAGATGCGAATGCGATACTAAAAAAAGAGCAAATACGTGAGAATAACATTTAAATCATAATTTTGAAAGGTCAAAATAGGAGATCATTCTGAAATCAAGAGTTTAAAGTCTAAATTTGACTTCAAATTATATGTTTGACTTTTAATCTTCAGATGCAAAATTATATATATATTATATATTATATAGTTTAAAAGAAATCTGGATTAAACACATTTTTTTCCCCACATTCTTGACTATTTATCAAATCCTCCTTCGTCTTTACTTTCCCAGATTTTCATGGTTTATTAAGGATATTTTGAATTATGGTGCTAAAGTTTACATTATTATCTGGGAGGAAATCCACCTTGGGTTTGACACCTGTGCACTAGTGTAATCTGATCAAAATGCCATAGTATAGATGAAAAATGTCACAGTGCAAAAAAAATCATAATTTGGTCAGTGGGCGGTCTTTCATACCTGCTCTGGAGCAGGTTTGGCGTTCTGTGTAAATTACCAGGGCGATGGACCCGGCTATACAAAACCCAGGAGTTATTCTCGCCTTCTTTCGTCTGATAGGTTGAAAAGTTTAATTTACTTCCTCTGACATCACTTCCTGTTGCTTTGAAAATAAAAAAAGAATCAATCTCAAAAATATGAAAATAAACTCCAGAAACAGAAAAAAACACATTTTCACTTGGTGTTTGTGTAAAAATAGAACCACATAAATTAAAACCTTAAAATTAATCCTTTACTGAACCTGAACCTGAACCTGAACCCTGATCCATCCTCTGCCTCATCATCCGTCCGTCCGTCCGTCCTTCCTTCCTTCCTTCTCTCTATTTTTAAACTTTGATTTAATCTTATATTCGTGTTTTTAACTCTGACTCCACATTGACTTTCAGGCTTTTTAATCCATTAATATTTCAATAGAGACGCTGATTTCTCTTTCTCAGCTAATCAATGACAAAGATCATTTTAATATCAATCAATCAGTTATAAAAATGATGTCAGATTGGGGGAGAAAACAATAAATTAAACCTCCACCAGAGGGCAGTGTTGTTTTAGGATTAAAGATGACAGCAGAGTCAGATTATTGTTCACGCCGGATTATTAAAGGGGGAAAATATGTGATAATTAATTCAGAAAACAAGATTCTTTTTTTATTCACTTAATATTATATGGGGGGGGGGGACTGATCATCAGTGAGTCTTTCTTCCTCTTCATCCTCCTCCTCCTCCTCCTCTTCATCATCTCTACTGTGAACTAGGTGAGTATAATTACACCTGAGCGTGTCACATTCACTTCCCCTGAGCGCCGTCGTGTCACTTCCTCCCCCCGCCCCCACAAGTCGACGTGTTCCCGCTTTAAAAAGGCGAGTTTGATTTTCCAGGAGATTCAGTCAGAAAAACGTTTTTTTAACCTTTGAGAACAGAATCTACACACACTTTACACACACTTTACACACACTTTACACACACTCTCAACACTCGCCGTGGTCTCTCCGACACATCGGCACCGTGGGTCTTTGTCCACAGAGGATTGACATGTCCAATTACAGCAGGAGCAACAAAGAAGAAGGAGAAGAAGAAGAAGCAGAAGAAGAAGAAGAAGAAGAAGGGGGAGAAGAAGAAGAAGAAGAAGAAGAAGAAGGGGGAGAAGAAGAAGAAGAAGAAGAAGGAGAAGAAGAAGAAGAAGAAGAAGAAGAAGAGAAGAAGGAGAAGAAGAAGAAGAAGAAGAAGAAGAAGAAGAGAAGAAGGGGGAGAAGAAGAAGAAGAAGAGAAGAAGGAGAAGAAGAAGAAGAAGAAGAGAAGAAGGAGAAGAAGAAGAAGAAGAAGAAGAAGAAGAAGAAGAGAAGAAGGAGAAGAAGAAGAAGAAGAAGAAGAAGAAGAAGAAGAAGAAGAAGAAGAAGAAGGAGAAGAAGAAGAAGAAGAAGAAGAAGAAGAAGGAGAAGAAGAAGAAGAAGAAGAAGAAGAAGAAGAAGAAGAAGGAGAAGAAGAAGAGATTTTGACACCAAACCAAAACTCATCGACTTCTTCAAGACGGACAAGAACCAGAACTTCAACGATTCAGATCTTTGTGAGTTTAGTGTGACACAAATGTACTTCACCAAAGAGGAGAAAGATCGTCAAACAGAAGCGTAAAGTTAGTCAGTCTAACCCCCAATTTTCCTACCGGATCCATTTGTGAGGTGAACTTCGTGGTGGATTACAGACGGCGGTAATCACGAGAACTCTCAAGAACCCTCAGATCCACGTTCAATCGCGCGATAACAAGTTGTCTCTCTAAAGACAGACACATAGACATATAAGCAGTAGATTGTGTCCTTCCAGAGGAGGAAATCTACTTCTAGACTTCTAGAATCAGCATCTCCTCATCCATGGTGTCATCGGGGTGAAATGACGTCTAAAAACCTTTCACTTGTTCGTCTCCGCCCGTTTGCATGGTGTGAAATACGATCCTCCTGAAACACGGAGTGTTTTATTTTGAAAAGAAGCAGGATGTTTTATTTTGAAGTCTGTGCCCGACTTCCTTTCCAGCACGGGTTAATCTGTGCGGAATTTATCCGCCATGCTCCGGCGTCCAGAAAAAATAGAACTCTTGTGATCAGCTGAGGAGTCCGGCGATCGGCAGAGGAACGGAAAGAAGTCGGTGTAAATTGACACGTTAACTTGAATGTTTACGATCAGCTACGATCGGAGGATACGACCTTTTAGGAGACCATCAGGATGAAGGTGGAGGTCGTGGATGAGCGTCCAGCGTTGGGATGACGTGACATTTGTAATTATTCGTAAAAAAAAACAAAAACAAATAAATCTCAGCTGTGATGAAGTCGATCCACAAATAAACTGAATCATTCATTAAATTTAAAGAACAATGAAGTCCGAAGTGCCGGAACCTTTAAGGCTGAACAACCTTTTTTCCCATGATCCTCCTCCCCCATCTCCCCCGTCGTATTGGTATGTGCTGCTCTACCTCGCCATCACCCACGGGCCGACCCATGGGGCTCAATTATTCAGGCCTTTGCTCAGCCAAGTAGAAGAAATTAGCCTCTCCTCCTGAACCAAGACCTTCTAACCTGAACCAGGACCCGGGGCGGACTCTCTGACTAGACTGACCCCCCTGTGACCCCCCTCTGTTAGACCGTGTTTTCCATACATATGAGTCTGAGCAGACCAGAGACACGCTTGGACGCCATACGGGCTCTAGGTGCCCCGGTTGGCAGAGAGTGTTTGAGACGCCGGGAGGTAAAAGATATAAAATACACCCCCACAACTTCGCAGCGATCGCCGTGAATCCCCTCCTGGAAGGACGCCGGTGTCCTCGAGCAAACGCCGTCTTTTATTTATTTCCTTCTCCAGGATCCTGTGAAGCAGAAAAGTCGACTTCAAGAGACAAAAAAATATTGATGAGCGAACTTAACCATCAATTTAGGATCAAGTGGATTTTGTTTTTATACATTTTATTACATTATTGATACATTATGTAAAAATTACTGCACTTATTAAAAATCCACAGAAAATCATTTATTAGATTGAAACGGTCGAGCCTGAGAGCATCTGTGTTTGTTTTTATGTTTGGATCATTAAGTGGATCTACATCCACATGTATATACATATATATATATATATATATATATATATATATATATATATATATATATATATATATATATATATGTATATATATATATATAAATATATATATATATATTATATATACATATATATATATATATATATATATATATATATATATATATATATATATATATATATATATATATATATATATATATATATATATATATATATAATATATATTTATATATATATATATATATATATATATATATATATATATATATATATATATATATATAATATATATATATATATATATATATATATATACATATATAAATGTATATATATATATATGTATATATATATATATATATATATATATATATATATATATATATATATATATATATATATATATATATATATATATATATATATATATATATATGTATATGTATATATATACATACATATATATATATGTATATATATTTATATATATATGTATATATATACACATAAATATATAAATATATATATATAGTGCATACACGCCTCTCCTCTTCTAACTTTGTGAATACAGATACCGGAGATTCGAGGTTCCTGATCCTACTGAGGGAGGACCAATGGTTCTTATCCTCCTTCTGAGGCCACGCCTCCAAAAGGTCACACTCAGTCCGTTTCCATGACACTTGATAAAACTGAATTATCGCCTTATTCCGAATAAGACCGGACAACCGAAGGTCATGTAAACACTTTAGTCCGTCTATAATCGGAGAACTCCGATTAAAACTCCCAGATAAAGTGATTGGAATTCGATTTTCTCTACCATGTAACCAGCGTAGTCGGAGTATGATGCCACGCCCCCGTAACCCCGTAACAAACCCCCAGAGTAGAGGAGTAGCGTTGGTCTCCTCTTTAGAAAAAGTAGCGCGTCCATCATGTCGGACAAAAACAACGCTGTACGATGCTCCATCTTCTTGTTTCTCCAGCAGCAGTTGTAGACACTTCTGACGTCTGACACCGACCTGCTGTTGTTGTTGACGGTTGGATGGGGTCGGAAACAGCGCCGCTGAAAAGACCCATATCGCCCCCTAGTGTTGGGGAGGAGGACACGTTCACGTCAATAATTCAGTTTTCTCAGCTGCATGTAACTTCAGAGAAGTAAACCGATCCACAAACTCTCCAAAAGAACTTTCTGCAGATCTTATCGGTTCCCATCGTCCTCTCTGAAAAATCGTGTCGTGGAGAAGAAGACAGAGAGGAAGATGAAATCCAAGTTTCTTTCGTCTCTTTTCCTTCAAACAGACGATATCATCAGATTCAGGTTTTTGACGAAGGTGATGGTGCCGTGTGGTGAGGAGGAGGAGGAGGAGGAGGAGGAGGAGGAGGAGGAGGAGGAGGAGATGAAGTTGAAGTCCGGTGGTCAGACCAGTCTAGTTCCTGTTTCTTTGGTTTATCCAGAAGATCTTTTGTCTCTTTGCACATTTTAAAATTGAGTTAAAATTGTCGGACTTTTGCGTTTATCGTCTGAAAATGACGAACGTCTCAATCCGCCTCATGATTCTGGAGTCAAAGAGTCAAATCGAGCGAACTGGAGCTCAGTGTGAATCTTTCTCTCCACAAATGAAACCAAACGTGAAAGATGAGGTTTTTTTTCCTCCTTCTGAGACTCTCGGCGTGACATCTAATCTGCGTCTGTTTTTTTTTCATTAAATTCATGTCAGGACTCATTTCCAGAGCGGATGAATACAGATGTCAGGACGCCATCGAGGGGCGTTTAATAAGATAACAGGCTTTAGTTCAGGAATTAACGTTATTGAAGAAGAAAAAAACTCTAGGAGATTATTTGGACGACCGAGGAGACCGCCGTCCTCGTATCAGACCTGCGCCGCCAAATCACAAATCTATTTCTGACAGAGGTATTAATTATCAGAGTAAAGCTGCTGTTACATATTGATTCATCAGGG